GTGTGTGTGTGTGTGTGTGTGTGTGTGTATTCATCTAGTTGTGCTTGCTGGGGTTGAGTTCTGCTCTTTCAGCCCGCCTCTCAACTGTCAATCAATCAACTGTTACTAACTACTAAAAAATATTTTTTCACCCCCCCCCAGGAAGCAGCCCGTAGCAGCTGTCTAAACTCCCATGTACCTATTTACTGCTAGGTGAACAGGAGCATCAGGGTGAAATAATCTCTGTCCATTTGTTTCCGCCTCCACCAGGAATCGAACCCGGAACCACAGGACTACGAATCCGACCTGGGCCGGATTCGTAGTAGCCGGCCTGGGCTACACTGTAGGTGTACCAGGCCTGGGGTACACTGCAGGTGTAGCCGGCCTAGGGTAAACTGCAGGTGTAGCCGGCCTGGAGTACACTGCAGGTGTAGCCGGCCTGGAGTACACTGCAGGTGTAGCAGGCCTGGAGTACACTGCAGGTGTAGCAAGCCTGGGGTACACTGCAGGTGTAGCCGGCCTGGGCTACACTGCAGGTGTAGCCGGCCTGGAATACACTGCAGGTGTAGCCGGCCTGGAATACACTGCAGGTGTAGCCGGCCTGGGGTACACTGCAGGTGTAGCAAGCCTGGAATACACTGCAGGTGTAGCAAGCCTGGAATACACTGCAGGTGTAGCCGGCCTGGAATACACTGCAGGTGTAGCCGGCCTGGAATACACTGCAGGTGTAGCCGGCCTGGAGTACACTGCAGGTGTAGCCGGCCTGGAATACACTGCAGGTGTAGCCGGCCTGGAATACACTGCAGGTGTAGCCGGCCTGGAGTACACTGCAGGTGTAGCCGGCCTGGAGTACACTGCAGGTGTAGCCGGCCTGGAATACACTGCAGGTGTAGCCGGCCTGGAATACACTGCAGGTGTAGCCGGCCTGGAGTACACTGCAGGTGTAGCCGGCCTGGAATACACTGCAGGTGTAGCCGGCCTGGAATACACTGCAGGTGTAGCCGGCCTGGAGTACACTGCAGGTGTAGCCGGCCTGGGGGTACACTGCAGGTGTAGCCGGCCTGGAATACACTGCAGGTGTAGCAGGCCTGGGGTACACTGCAGGTGTAGCAGGCCTGGGGTACACTGCAGGTGTAGCAGGCCTGGGGTACACTGCAGGTGTAGCCGGCCTGGAGTACACTGCAGGTGTAGCCGGCCTGGAATACACTGCAGGTGTAGCCGGCCTGGAGTACACTGCAGGTGTAGCCGGCCTGGAATACACTGCAGGTGTAGCCGGCCAGTAACGGGCAGCTGACGGCAACAATCGCGGTCTTTTCAAATTCGTGTTCTGAATTCGACAGTAAATAAGGAGACGGGAAGCAGCGTTGTTAACAAACTTTGTGAGGAGCCGTTATAAAGGTTCTGTGTTTATCTTCGCAGCGCCAAGATTCGCGACTTTTTCTAAAGGTTTTCATTATGTAAATTCGTGGCTCCCATCCTCCGCCCAGTACTGTAAGTCACATGTTGACTTACACGGGTTGCTCTGTCTATATTTGACTAATATACGGTGAGCCCAACCACCCCTTGTTGTGCTGGTGTTCATAATATGTTCTCAGATGCTGTTCATGACTAACTTGGTCTCTTCTGGTCAAACAGCTCGGTTAAAAAAAAAATTGATGGATTGACAGTTGAGAGGCGGGCCGAAAGAGCCAGAGCTCAACCTCCGCAAGTACAAGTAGGTGAATACACACACATACTCAATGTTTGCTGATGATGCAAAAATTATGAGGAGGATTAAGACAGAGGATGATAGTATGAGGCTACAAGATGACCTAGACAAACTGAAGGAATGGTCCAACAAATGGCTACTAAAGTTCAACCCAAGTAAATGTAAGGTAATGAAACCAGGAGGAGGAAACAGGAGGCCAGACACAGGATACAGAATAGGAGATGAAGTACTTAATGAAACGGACAGAGCGAAATATGTAGGAGTTGATATCACACCAAACCTGTCTCCTGAAGCCCACATAAAAAGAATAACATCGGCGGCGTATGTGAAGCTGGCTAACATCAGAACTGCCTTCAGAAACCTCTGTAAGGAGTCATTCGAAACCTTGTACACAGTACATGTAAGACCAATCCTGGAGTATGCGGCCCCAGCATGGAGCCCGTACCTTGTCAAGCACAAGACGAAGCTGGAAAAAGTTCAGAGGTATGCCACTAGGCTAGTCCCAGAACTAAGAGGCTTGAGTTACGAGGTAAGGCTGCGGGAAATGCACCTCACGTCGCTTGAAAAACAGACAAGTAAGGCGAGACACGATCACCACATACAAAATTCTCAGAAAAATTGACAGGGTTGACAAGGATAAACTATTCAACACTGGTGGGACGCGAACAAGGGGACACAGGTGGAAGCTGAGTACCCAAAAATCTACAAGTCGTTGGACTGATCTGCAAGAGGAGTGAACTGTAGGTCACGCTACAACCCGTTCTCGCCACCGTCCCCAACGTCAAGAAACTGTCGTGCTAAAGTGCCTTATCCTAACCTACCGGAGGACCCACAAATAGAAAACGGAACATTATGTCAACATCGCGAGTCGCTTCCATTTCCTTGCACGACAATTTTTGTCCTTTGGTAAAGTATGCGTCAAAATGCTACGTGTTATTGGGAGGACGGGTTGGACCAGCAGCCGCGCGGCTCCCACGGGCCAATTGGTCTGTTTCATCTACAGGAGCCGGTTATGTGGCCGGCTGACCATCCGGCCACACCGGACATTGGGCTGCAGTTACCACGTGAACACTGCTCTCCACCACAACACCACCACCACACTCACGCCTCTCTCAACGGTTAAGAGAACGGTGATACAGCTCCACCTGGGATGGTCAGCCTCCCATCTCCACCTGGGATGGTCACCCTCCCATCTCCACCTGGGATGGTCAGCCTCCCATCTCCACCTGGGATGGTCACCCTCCCATCTCCACCTGGGATGGTCAGCCTCCCATCTCCACCTGGGATGGTCAGCCTCCCATCTCCACCTGGGATGGTCAGCCTCCCATCTCCACCTGGGATGGTCAGCCTCCCATCTCCACCTGGGATGGTCAGCCTCCCATCTCCACCTGGGATGGTCAGCCTCCCATCTCCACCTGGGATGGTCAGCCTCCCATCTCCACCTGGGATGCTGTAGATGTCGTCTATAGTTTATACATGAATCTGTTGATTCTGAAACTCTTTCTCTTCCCTAATGTCGTCGCCCCCCTCCTCCCCACCCCACACACCCCCACCACCCCACACCCCACCCCCTCCCCACCCCCCACACAGTCGCTGCACTATACCTGCAGTAGCGGCAGTATGAACATACTGGTGTACATAGAGGCGGCCTCTATGCACAAGGATCTGGCTGGTTCATTACCTCTCGCTCTATATCAATTTTATCATCCATCTCTGATTTATTTGTGTTTTCATTTCCAGCTGCGTTTCTTGGTGTGGTGGTCGATCACGTGCAGGAGACTGCACGGTGCAAGGCACGGTGCAAGGCACGGTGCAAGGCACGGTGCATGGCACGTAAATTCTATACTGAGTGTGTGTAAATCACGAAAATTAACACGTGATGAAAAATGTATCAGACCACGGAGGAAGAATTGAAACAGGAATTTCCTTAAGTACTTTCGTATATTGATACATCTTCCCTGCTGAAGATGTATTAATATACGAAAGTACTTAAGGAAATTCCTGTTTCAGTCCTTCCTCCGTGGTCTGACACTGTCACTATACTGAGTTAGAAAGTCTTCCAGACTTCGTGCCTTATTTTGATAGATATTTGTATTCATTTTCCTCTATTTCCATTAGTATCTCGTATGTCGTGAACACTTCTGGTTCTTTTGTCATTTAGCATTAGCTGGAAGCTCCATGCTGATGTTGCATATTGTTTAACTGGTCTGACGTTTGTGTTAAACGGTAGAGTGGATGATTGGCCGCTGGCATCTCTAACTACTGTCGTTATGGTGTCCCGGAGTGCTGGCGGTGGTGATGGTGCTCATGGTGGTGGTGATGGTAATGGTGTTGTGACCCTGGGTGTTGTGACCCCCGGGTGTTGTGACCCCGGGTGTTGTGACCCCGGGTGTTGTGACCCCGGGTGTTGTGACCCCGGGTGTTGTGACCCCGGGTGTGGTGACCCCGGGTGTGGTGACCCCGGGTGTGGTGACCCCGGGTGTGGTGACCCCGGGTGTGGTGACCCCGAGGTGGGTCGATATGGTGCACCAGTTGTAAGATCGCTGGAGAGAGAGAAAGAGAGAGAGAGAGAGAGAGAGAGAGAGAGAGAGAGAGAGAGAGAGAGAGAGAGAGAGAGAGAGAGAGAGAGAGAGAGAGAGAGAGAGAGAGAGAGAGAGAGAGAGAGAGAGAGAGAGAGACAGAGAGAGAGAGAGAGAGACAGAGAGACAGAGAGACAGAGAGACAGGTCGCTAGCAGACAATACAGCCTCAGAGCCAGGGCAGGAAACGACGTTAGTTAGTTAAGCAGCGGTACACAGGGTGTTGCGAGTGTAGAACGCACCCCGAGACCACTCAGCCTCGCCCCCCCCTCGCACCGTTACGGTGCTGTGTGTGTAGTGAGGCTCTCACCGTGGCCCAGTTGCATCCTCGCGCCGTATGAACTTCTGCGTAAAGCTTGCTGTTGACCGAGCAGTGTTTGTGTACATATTGACACCCGCTGTCAAGGCTCGGCGCGCGCAACAAGTGCCCTCCGGTCAACACCGTTGACGGATATCAATGATCCTCGGTCAAGGATGAATTACAAACGAGAAAATAATCCATTCTATAAAAACGTTCAGTTCGTTTGCTGATGTACAATGGTGTTTAATGGCGTCAAATATAAACCGTTCGGTTTAAAACCCGTTTTTTATGTCATTGTTAACGGTATGTTGATGGGGTTTTTTTTGGCAACGGGAGTTGATGTGGTAAATCTCCCGGTCAACTGCTGCATATGTTGGGTATGTGGTGGTCTGTTCTCTGGTTGATGGTCGTGTTGTGGAGTGTGTCTGGGGATGTTACTTCTTGAAGGTGGTCACATCATGTCTTCCTTCTGGACACATCTTGTCTTGTCTCCTGGACACATCTTGTCTTGTCTCCTGGACACATCTTGTCTTGTCTCCTGGACACATCTTGTCTTGTCTCCTGGACACATCTTGTCTTGTCTCCTGGACACATCTTGTCTTGTCTCCTGGACACATCTTGTCTTGTCTCCTGGACACATCTTGTCTTGTCTCCTGGACACATCTTGTCTTGTCTCCTGGACACATCTTGTCTTGTCTCCTGGACACATCTTGTCTTGTCTCCTGGACACATCTTGTCTTGTCTCCTGGACACAACTTGTCTTGTCTCCTGGACACATCTTGTCTTGTCTCCTGGACACATCTTGTCTTGTCTCCTGGACACATCTTGTCTTGTCTCCTGGACACATCTTGTCTTGTCTCCTGGACACATCTTGTCTTGTCTCCTGGACACATCTTGGCTTCCTTCTGGACACATCTTGGCTTCCTCCTGGACACATCTTCTCTTCCTTCTGGACACATCTTCTCTTTCTTCTGGACACATCTTGTCTTCCTTCTGGACACATCTTGGCTTCCTTCTGGACACATCTTGGCTTCCTCCTGGACACATCTTGTCTTCCTTCTAGACACATCTTCTCTTTCTTCTGGACACATCTTGTCTTCCTTCTGGACACATCTTGGCTTCCTTCTGGACACATCTTGGCTTCCTCCTGGACACATCTTCTCTTCCTTCTGGACACATCTTCTCTTTCTTCTGGACACATCTTGTCTTCCTTCTGGACACATCTTGGCTTCCTTCTGGACACATCTTGGCTTCCTCCTGGACACATCTTGGCTTCCTCCTGGACACATCTTGGCTTCCTCCTGGACACATCTTGGCTTCCTCCTGGACACATCTTGGCTTCCTCCTGGACACATCTTGGCTTCCTCCTGGACACATCTTGGCTTCCTTCTGGACACATGTTCTCTTCCTCCTGGACACATCTTGGCTTCCTCCTGGACACATCTTGGCTTCCTTCTGGATACATCTTCTCTTCCTCCTGGACACATCTTCTCTTCCTTCTGGACACATCTTGTCTTCCTCCTGGACACATCTTGGCTTCCTCCTGGACACATCTGGTCTTCCTCCTGGACACATCTTGGCTTCCTCCTGGACACATGTTCTCTTCCTCCTGGACACATCTTGTCTTCCTCCTGGACACATCTTGTCTTCCTCCTGGACACATGTTCTCTTCCTTCTGGACACATCTTGGCTTCCTCCTGGACACATGTTCTCTTCCTTCTGGACACATCTTGGCTTCCTCCTGGACACATCTTGTCTTCCTCCTGGACACATCTTGTCTTCCTCCTGGACACATCTTGTCTTCCTCCTGGACACATCTTGTCTTCCTCCTGGACACATCTTGTCTTCCTCCTGGACACATCTTGTCTTCCTCCTGGACACATCTTGTCTTCCTCCTGGACACATCTTGTCTTCCTCCTGGACACATCTTGTCTTCCTCCTGGACACATCTTCTCTTCCTTCTGGACACATCTTGTCTTCCTTCTGGACACATCTTCTCTTCCTCCTGGACACATCTTCTCTTCCTTCTGGACACATCTTGTCTTCCTCCTGGACACATCTTCTCTTCCTTCTGGACACATCTTCTCTTCCTCCTGGACACATTATACATACAGTTCCCAGCACACGCAGCAGTTGATGTCAGTGTTCAGCACACGCAGCAGTTGATGTCCATGTCATTCCACGCAGCATTCGTTCATTGTTCAGCACACGCAGCAGTTGATGTCACTGTTCAGCACACGCAACAGTTGATGTCACTGTTCAGCACACGCAGCAGTTGATGTCACTGTTCAGCACACACAGCAGTTGATGTCACTGTTCAGCACACGCTTATACCACAATCGCGTCTTGTAGTGAATATTATCAGCACAGGTGGTGGTGCTGGTGATAGTGGTGGTGATAGTGGTGGTGATAGTGGTGGTGATAGTGGTTGTGGTGGTGACGGTGGTGGTCAGTGGTTGTGGTACAGTGATGGTGGTAGTTATGGACACTGACGCAATCTCTAAAAGTCCACCTGGAGAGTTTAACTGTTGTATGTTGTGTCTACACGGATCAGAGACCCTGGAGGAAGATCCCAAGTAACAGCTCAAGTCAATATTTGTCCCGCCAGAGGCCACTAACGTCTCGGTCTTGCAACAAACAGATCTACACTCACACGAGTGACACCTCTCAGGTCTTGATCATCTTGCAAGGACAGTTACTCACTCGGTCACTCATATAATGGTATATATATATGTATATAGCATGTATATATCATGGTATATACATGGTCGAGGGTGTGTCCATTCACAGGATGAGTGGCGTTGCCCAATACTGTCACTATGGCGGTGTGTCCACTCACAGGATGAGTGACGCTGCCCAGTACTGTCACTATGGCGGTGTGTCCACTCACAGGATGAGTGGCGTTGCCCAATACTGTCACTATGGCGTTGTGTCCACTCACAGGATGAGTGGCGCTGCCCAATACTGTCACTATGACGGTGTGTTCACTCACAGGATGAGTGCCGCTGCCCAATACTGTCACTATGACGGTGTGTCCACTCACAGTATGAGTGGCGCTGCCCAATACTGTCACTATGGCGGTGTGTCCACTCACAGGATGAGTGACGCTGCCCAATAAACTCGCCTCTCGGGGCAAAATTTAAATTTCAATTCACTAGGAGGGAGGAGCAGCAGGCAACGCAAGAAGACGCCTTACAATCCAGACTTAAAGATGAAGAAATAAGAAGGAAAGATATAAGTAATGTGACGACAAGAAAAAATAAACATTCTTGGATATCTGAGAAGAGGCAGAAAAGGTGAAGAAAGCAAAGAGAGGATGTCAATATAAGCGGAAGGCGGGGCAGGTTGTGGAGGGGGGGGTGGCGGTTGACCTGCAGGGGTGGGGGATGACCTGCAGGGGTGGGTAGCCTGTATACCCGCTTGCCCACTGACCTGCTGCAGTGGGTCACTGTGACTCCGTCAGGGAACCCCAATATGGCTCGCCCTCTCCCTCCTTCCCTTATCCAAAGTCCAGGTGGATATAGACATCCGTGTGAGGGGCCAGCAGTCTCCCCTGGGGGAGGTACACACGCTGGCTCATGGCCCAGACAAATACACACATCAGAAAGGCTTTTATCCGCGCCCATCTTGGAATTTTCTAACTATATGCAATTTTGGTCCATCCACTTGGACTGGTCGGTAGAGCCATGGCCTCGCTGGGAACGTGACAGGGAAGGAAGGGACACGTCAGCACGAGCTCCGCAAAAAAAAATATATATATCTCGGGATATTTCAGTGATACAGGAACTAAACGCAGTCAGAAATCTCATAAAATGCGTCTCAACATATTTTAAACAATATGTATGATAGTGATTGCCATCCGACTTTTGTGTTTTTTGAAGGAAATAACAAGTGAAATTCGAGTGTAGTCAACGAGTCCACCGCCTGTCTGCCTGTCTGTCTGTCTACCTGCCTACCTGTCTGTCTGCCTGCCTGTCTGTCTGTCTGCCTGCCTGTCTGTCTGTCTACCTGCCTACCTGTCTGCCTGCCTGCCTGCCTGTCTGTCTACCTGCCTGCCTGTCTGCCTGTCTGCCTGCCTGCCTGCCTGTCTGCCTGCCTGCCTGTCTGTCTGTCTGTCTACCTGCCTACCTGTCTGCCTGCCTGCCTGCCTGCCTGTCGGCCTGTCTGCCTGCCTGTCTGCCTGCCTGCCTGCCTGCCTGTCTGTCTGTCTACCCGCCTACCTGTCTGCCTGCCTGCCTGCCTGTCTGTCTGCCTGCCTGTCTGTCTACCTGCCTGCCTGTCTGCCTGCCTGCCTGCCTGCCTGCCTGCCTGCCTGCCTGCCTGCCTGCCTGCCTGCCTGCCTGCCTGCCTGTCTGCCTCGTGGGGCCAGGAGTCCGAAGGCAAAAGTTGCCAAGACGTTTAAAAAACAAAACAAAAAATCGCATCCCTCCTTATTGAAACCTCCAGAAATCATAGTTGTCCACAGTGCTAAACTCTCTTTGTAAACAATTGTGTCAATTGGAAAAAATTAAGATAACATACCTTAATATCTAGTGAACAAATTATTTACGAAATAAGTCCCCCCTTTTTTTTGGAGTAAAGAAGAAGGAGAGGCACAGGTGAAGAGAAGTATAGAAGTGGGAAATACAGTGAGAGGTATGTGAATTTGGAGCTTTCACAGAAACCCATGCAGGGGAATTACACACCAAAAAGGAACTTGGACAGTGAGATCATTATGGATATGGGCTTGCCGAAAGTCTCCCAGTCAAACTATCACTAATAGATATAATCTTTATACAAGGATGTGATAGGAGTAATGTATATTTGGAGTCACATGGAGGAGTGGATCTAGGTACTGTATATTAGGGAAGACAATAGAGAAAATAAACTTAATTATTATTCTAATATACAAACCGCCAAATGCAACGGCTGAGGAATTCACAGAACAGATAAACAAAATAGAGAACAACCTTTAGAATTTGGCAAACCCAATACCTGATATTATCGTCCTAGGTGACTTCAACCTGCCTAGTCTAAGATGGAGAATAGCAAACAATAATATTATACCAGGAAATCTATCTGGACATAACCAACCACAGATTAGAGAACTACTTAGATTCTGTGACAAATTTTCACTCAACCAGCAGATATCAGAGCCAACTAGGAACGAAAATATTCTAGATCTGGTCTTCACAAACAATGAAGACATAATCAGGGACATTACGATCTCAGATACCACATACTCAGATCACAAGCTCATTGAAGTGCAAACTACCATCAATACTCAGAATAGACCTAAAACAATGATCAAGCGAGAGGGGTTATTCAGTAAATTCAATTTTAATAATAAAAGGATAGACTGGGAGAAAATAAACAGGGAACTTACAAACATTCAATGGGAAACTGTTCTAAGTAATAAAAATCCTACACAAGGAATAGAAAAACTGACTTCTGAAGCATATAAAGTCTGTCTGAAACATGTTCCTTTGAGGAAAGCCAGAAAGAGGTCCAACGTAGAAAGAGAACGCAGACGACACTACAAAAAAAGAAAAAAAATAACGGAAATGCTTAAGCAGACACGACTTTCCCTACAAAGAAGGAATAATTTAAACAGGGAGATTGAAGAAATCGAGCAGAGACTGAAGCATTCATATCAGATTGAAGAAAGGCAACTAGAACAGAAAGCAATTCAAGAAATAAAGAAAAACCCAAAATATTTCTTCACATATGCGAAATCAAAAGCAAAAACCACTGCCAGTATTGGACCTATTCGTACAAGTGAAGGTTCATACACTGAGGATGACAAAGAAATTAGTGAAATCCTAAAAAAGCAGTATGAGGACATGTTTAGCACTCCAATAAACAGCATGAAAGTGGAAGATCCGGACAACTTCTTTATGCGTGATATCCAAACCCCTGTAAATATAACTGATATCAACACGAGCGTGGCAGATTTTGAAAGAGAAATTGACAACATGCCCATGCACTCAGCCCCGGGTCCAGACTCATGGAATTCAATATTTATAAAGAAATGCAAAGTGCCAGTAGCACAGGCACTCAGTATAGTGTGGAGGAAGAGCTTGGACACGGGGGAGATACCAGATGCGCTTAAATCAGCAGACATAGCCCCTCTACACAAGGGAGGGAGCAAAGCATTGGCAAAGAATTATAGACCAGTTGCACTAACGTCCCACATAATAAAAGTATTTGAGAGAGTGATCAGGAGTCAGGTCACCAGTTTCATGGAGACCAATGACCTCCACAACCCAGGCCAACATGGATTTAGAGCGGGAAGATCATGCCTCTCACAGCTACTTGACCACTACGACAAAATCACTGAGGCATTAGAAGAAAAACAGAATGCAGATGTGGTATACACGGACTTCGCAAAGGCATTCGATAAATGTGACCATGGAGTGATAGCACACAAAATGAGGTCAATGGGAATAACTGGTAAAGTAGGACGGTGGATACTCAATTTTCTGTCGAACAGAACACAAAGAGTAACAGTCAACCATATAAAATCGAGTCCAAGCGCAGTTAAAAGCTCTGTACCTCAGGGTACAGTCCTTGCACCACTGCTTTTCCTTATTCTCATATCAGATATAGACAAAAATACAAGTCACAGCTTCGTATCATCCTTTGCAGATGACACAAAAATCAGCATGAAAATTACCTCTGCTGAAGACATTGAAAAACTACAAGCAGATATTAATAAAGTTTTCGACTGGGCAGCAGAAAATAACATGATGTTTAACAGTGATAAATTCCAGGTACTCAGGTACGGTAAAAATGAGGACCTTAAACATAATACAGGGTACAAAACACAATCAAATCTGCCCATAGTAGGAAAGCAGCATGTAAAGGATTTGGGAATAATGATGTCTGACGACCTAACGTTTAGGGAGCATAACCAAGCAAATATTGCGTCAGCCAGAAAAATGATAGGATGGATTACGAGAACTTTCAAATCCAGGGATCCCATCACAATGGTTGTACTCTTCAAATCACTTGTGCTGTCCCGTCTTGAGTACTGCTCAGTACTCACTTCCCCCTTCAGAGCAGGAGAGATTGCTGAAATAGAGGGAATACAGAGAACATA